AACAGTTTGGGGAGTCCTTTTCTTCCTGTTCTTATAAAGTAGATACTCTTTTTTCCCTTTAATAAATGTTTCTAGTGTCTGTCTTTGCACGTCCTTCCTCTTATAATAGTTAAAAGTCTTTGCCTCTTTCAGCTCCGTTCCATTTCTGCTCACACTACACTAACCATAGTTCCCTTGAAAGAATCTGTCATTCTTCTTCTACAAAGGTAACGATGCAAGGCTCCTCGCATAGTCAGGCAGCTGGTATCTACTCCCTTTTGCATTTATTTTGCACAATAAAAAGAAAAGAATTACTTATCCTGGAGATATGTTGCACAGATCAGCTTCTTCCTCTGCATTTAAACCTCCTAACCTTTCCTTGCATCTATGTGGCTGGGAATGCACTACTTCACTTCAAAGTCATTTAATTTTAATGAGCACACTACTCTGAGTGTACATTTTCAAAACACAAAACATTCTAAAAGAGTGTATCGAGAGTGCTGTCTTCATTAAAATCAAAACACTTTTTGCTGAAGGAGCACACTCCAAGCCACTTTGATGCCAAGGTAGCAAAGCCAGTTTTAATCCATGCATATAAGGGATGTGCAGGAGATTAGCCAGATGTTCAATTACTCCTTCTGAGAAATTGTGATGTACTAATACGTCTGCCTGTGCCTATGATCATATGAGTACTGTTGGGTACATACCAAGTAAAATAAAAAATCACTGACTTGCACATTGGGAATCTGCAGATCCTTAAATTTATACTTATTTGGGCAATACTGGTATATAAATATTATGGCATTCACAGACTTTTGAAAGCTCAACTTCTTCCATAGACAAGAAAGCATTTAATTGTTCCCAACCATGCATTTTCTTGAGAAAAAATATGTAGATATAAAAACTAGAAGAAAGTTTGTGACACACTGTAGGATTCATCTGACTAAATTTAGGATGTCAACGGTTTTGATGTTGATGTCTGAACTACTCATTCTGGCTTCCTCTATGGCACCTGAAGAGAGACCCTTGCACTGAGGGCGTGTGATTTTCTTCATCCTGGAGCGATGTCTAAAAGTGGCCTAAAAGTGTTTATTTCTGTCCTTGATGCTAAAGGGAAGCCAAATGTGAAAAACTCATTTTCCATATCAGAAGGGGAATGCTTCCATCTAGATATCTAATAGTACAGGTGACGGATCCTCCTTGCAGAGTTAAAAGTCAGGACATATGCACTTGTGGTGATACTATAGTTGTGTTCCAAAACATCCATCTCCAATGACCATAATGAATACAAAGTCTAAATAACAGAGAACATGAAAAAGACCTGAAGTTTCAGCCTTCACTTTCAATAGTTTTGGGGTTTTTTTTGCTGTTTATCTCTATACATACTTTTAAATTATTTGAATAGACACATATTGATCATCTCTTCAAATGTGCAAAATTTCATGATCTTAGGAAGGTAAAGATGTTACTCAAAAGCTAAATTTTTTGAACTTATTGAATTCTTTGAATGATAATGCATACATTTCTGCAAACTGGCTCTTTGAAACACAATACTCTACCATTTCACTGGTAAGATTGAAATGAAATTTAAAAGAAATAATTTTATTTTAAGATGTGAAAAACCTTAGGGTTTATATTTTCCAAAGTGTCCTCTAATTCTGCTGGTTCAGTTCTATGGCCACAAAGACTAGCTTCTACCATAAAATGGGTAGACAAATAAGAACTATTGTATGTATGTTAATATATTGTATTTTACTGGGTGTCCACTTGCAAACAGTTATGCCTGCAGTATTACTGTGGCTAGAGGTGTTTGTGGGTTCATAATTACACTTATGAAATCAGAAGCTGGGTTGGATCTTGGCTGAAAATGCACCACACGGCTTCTTAAGGCATTTTGATAAGATGATAAATTCTCTAACTGCTGTTAAGCTATTCCCATTATTATGTTCTTAATAATTACTGACTTCAGTTTAAAAAAAAAAGAATTTTGTTAATGCAGGTCATACCTACCTAAATGCATTTTACTTACATGGTAGTTGCTAATTAGTGTATGGTAAAAATACATGGTAAAAATAATAGTAGTATCTTAATTCCAGGGAAACAGGGGAGGAACCCAACTCCCTGCACTATGCAGAATACACAAAAGGAGGCCTCCACCACCTCTCTTGGGACGCCTCTGTTTCTACAGAGAAGCGAAAGGGGAATTGCCCCTGTAGAGCAGAAATCCACGTGCTTTTATGTTGGACTTTGAGTGGGGCAGCAGTATGAGCTGACAGGAGAAGGAGGCTTCCTACTGCTCAGGATCTTCTCCTTTAGGGATGGTCTAGTCATGCTCTGGCTGGAAAAATGTGGATAGAATGATCTTGAATGTCATGCTGCAGGCTTTGCTGCTCCATAGCGTCTGACAAAGCCCTGTCTTTTGGAAGGTCTTGAAATCTTCTAAAATTATATTGTACTGGACATCAAAAATATTTTGAAAAAAATCCCTTGCCCTCCCTTCTTTATGTTGTTGATGGCAGCAATGCAAGATAATCCAGCTGGTCCGTTCTAGCCAATAGCATTTTGGGACTTTACCTCAACCCTTGCTTCTTACACACTGCATACATAAGACCACAATCACATTCTTTATCTGGCTAGATCTGCTTGTCTGGATCTGCTGAAACTCTAATTTTCTTCTATGCACAATTTTTTTCATGTTCCTTTCTTCAATTCATTGCAGCACATCCTTATGAAAAGATGAAGTAATGCTATATAATCAAGTAGTGTTGAGAACCACAAAGGCAGACACAAAAGCCAAAAGAGTTCCTTTCATTTCTGATCTGCCCTAATATCTGTTTTTTTCTTAATGCATGGAATTATGCTGGGTTTGGTTAGGTTTAATAATATAATTGTTTACAGCTTTCTAAACCTAATATGTTTACCAAGTTAGAAGAGACTAAATATTTTCTACCATATTTTATTATATTTTACTGCATTTTCTACTACATACTTTGTAGTCTCTTCTGAGCATAAAAATGATATACAGAATGGTGATACAGATTTGGTGTCTATATTCCATCTTCCAGGTAAGCTTAAAATATGATACAAATACAGTTAAAAAAAAATAACTCTAAAGGAGCAGTACAACATGCTTATAGATCTTCAGGCACATTTTTACAAAGTGGCCTCAGGAATTGGAACTCTGTGTAAGATGGAGTAATTACTGTCCCAATTTTTACAACTTCACTAAGGTTTCCTTTTTTTAGGTGTTCTAAATGGCCTTTATTGCCAATGGAAAGAAGGAGGCATCACCAGAGAACAATTTAAACCTCAGGTGGGGTGGATGGTGTGGTGGCAGGCATGTCTATTTTCTCAAGGAACTGTGAACCTCCCCTAGATATCTCACCCGCATGTTTAATCTTAACCAGGCTGGATTTTGAGTCTCTGTATCTGCAAAAAAGTATCTGAAAGATGGTATTGTAGATAGGTAGGAGAGGATACTACTGAAAGGTGACTTTAGCTATCCTGCTTCTGGAGTTGCATTAAATTGGAGAAGAACCCCTGTGTACCACCTAGGATCTATCAACTAGTATACCTGAGCTGAGGGCAGTAACTTCTTTAACGATGCAAACTTGCTTTGAAAGAGCCTGTCTGTCTGAGCATTTCATGGGCAAGCACATACACTATCTTTTAGAAATAATTTTGAAATTTTGTCCCAAGATTATACATATTCACTTTAACAACAAACAAAAAGTGGACAATATTTGATTACTTGCAAAACCCCCCACTTCATTTTTCAACTATTTTTTTTTTCAGTTAAATTATGTGTTGTAAAAACTTATGATAGTACACACACAATATAAACACCAAGGGAAATATTTCACTTTGAAAGCTTGTAAAGGCATGTCTTGAAAAGGAACTAAGTTCTGCTCTTCTGCCCAAACTCTCCAGTTGATTCACATATGAAACTTCAACTCCATTTTCACAGAAATATCCATAAGTACCCCCTATTCTATGAAGCGTGGGCTACAGTTCTGTGTCTCACAATTGAAAAATCAGGTAAAGTTACTGCTTCCCTACAGAGATGGGTCCAAACATTGTAGAGCAACAGCTAATGGCTTCAAGTTTACGTATACAGATTTTTTTTTCCACCTATAACTTCTTTCAGCGAATGAGTAAGTACCATATTTTTCTCATTTGTCTTTTTCTTTCCCGCCAAATGCTATATTTCATAACATTTGAAATGCTGGCATGATGTACTTCCAATCCTTAAAGAGTCCCAAGTATGAAAATAACTCCACCTCACAGGTGGTTTTGCATAAATAAAAAGCTTAATAGGAATGGCAGTATCTGACACTTAGGTCTTAAGAAATGATGTAAATACTTTTCACTTTAAAAATGTTTAAATCCCACAGACAGATTGTAGTAATGAACTGAATCCCTTTTAAAGGCTTTTCAGTTCACTTTTGCAATCTGACTAGAATCTAGCGTACTCCACATGATGTCCACCTGTACCTACTGCACACATCAGTTGTACCAATGCCCACACACACATGCAAACAAAACTAAATCAGTAAACGGTGAACTACCGGGTGGAAGAATCCAAGACTTACACTAGTGAGGGCAGAATCAGACCTATCATATCTGAGACAGATATGATTGTCAGCAACAAAATGGCAAATATATTCAACTGCATGTGCTTGCAGGTAGGGACAATGATTATCTTGCAGGAATAGTTTTTCTTCTCATCGCAACATGGCGGACTTTACCTGGTAGGTCACGAAATCCTTTGCAGTCGTGTGGAATGTTAAATCTCCAGAACTATACAGTTTCATACAGACTGGCTCTGAAACTTTAGTCTTGTTTTCTAGGTATAAACACTTCTGATAATAAGAGAAATATGAACAGCAGTGTATGATCCCAAACAATAATTTATACTGAATTAAAACATTAGTTTCACCCCTTAGACACAAAACACAATTTATTGTCTTATCATATAATTAGAACAACAAAAACATGCATTTTGTTTATGCACCACTGACCTCTAAAGAGCTCATTGATATCGTGGATCCAGTTTCACTTCTCGATAATCCTGCATTGTCATCCAGCTCTGAGGCAATGAAATTCTTCACTGCTGTGCGGGGCTCAAATGGTAAACTCTGCATATGTTCTTGGGTGGGAATATGCTGGTCTAAACTGATATTAAATTGGTCCATTACAGAAGGATTCATATTGAACTCTGGATTAACTTTGTAGTGCAACAGCCTTTCATGAGGCAACGTATCCATGCCTATATTCATTTTGCTCTCATCTTTCAGTGATGGCTGGGTATTTACTGAGCCCCGGGGCATGACTATGTAGTCGCTTTCTATCATCCGTTCTTGAGGATGGACTATGTCCATATCTGCACCTCTCAAATTATCATCAGTGCATAAATACACAGTCCTCCGCAACTCACTGTTGTCTTTTTTCAAGCACTGATTGGCCAGTTCACTCATACTCATAGGCATGTGGAGACCTGTTGGTTGCTGGATGATGACTTTGGAGATGATGTTTCCAGGCAAGGTAGAATAGCTCATTCCTTCAGGGTTTGGTCCTTTCTCCTCCTCTTCATCGTTTAGTGAAATTCTAGAAAGTGTTCCTGTTATAGTAGCTGCTCTGCAAGGTCCAATGTCTTTATGCAGAACTGTGGGTCAGAGAACAGAATTCTTACAACATGAAACCATGTCTGCCTAACGCTGCTTTTGCTCACGGCTTTATTTAGCAGTGCTCCCTTTACCAGTGCATCTTTTTAACTCTTTTTCTATATATTTAATAACTTTTATTCTATAAATATTGTTTTAGGAAGTTTTGCTTTGTTATTTAAAAAAATCAACATCTCTTAATCTACTATGTATAACTGACACAGATCTCTGACTAAGCCTCCGTCATTTATATAAATTAAAACCACTCCTTCATTTATTCCTACTGCCTTACATAGATCTTAGGTGACCTACAGCTTAAGCAAAAGCCTGCCATGTGGAACTCAATTAAGGGTTTTCCAAAAAATACACTATGACATCTGTACTGCCATTATTAACTCCACATAAACTCCTGGAAAATGTCAAACAGATTGTAAGGAAGAATCATTTTGTCAATCCATTGTAATGACCTACCATAAGATTATAACTATGAACATGTGTTCCTGAGCTCCTAAATGTTCCTTTTCACTGACTTTTTAAAATTGCTGCATTTTTTAAATAAAAATGACAAAAAAGTAACTACCTTGGGAAGAAATTCCACTGGTATCAGAAAGGCATATTTTGCTGCATTTGAAAAGGTTATAAAGAATAAAAATATGTCTCTTAAAACAGTCATAATCAACTTGTGGTGTAGGCCTAGGTCTTCCTGGTCAAACTTGTAGCAACATCCAGCGATTTTTTACTGGGGGAAACTCCACATGTAAAAGTTATTAATCCTGTCTTAGAATACAAAATTTCCAGGAGCACTGAAGGATGTGGTCGAAAGCAAAACATCTATTCAATCACAATTTTTGATCTTAAAAAGTAAATAGAAGTCCATAACTCAACATTTGTATTGAAAGAAAAAGGATAGCTAGTATGAAAAAAAATAATTAAAGTGACCTATTACTAGGCTTATTCCAGCTGCGTGCAAGGATTTTTCCTGTCCCAGCTGAAGATATTTTAATTCACTCCAGTGCTAGTTTGTTCAATAAAATCCATCTCATGGGCTGAGATAGTTAGACAACCTGAGGCATCTCAGGTGTCACATTTACATTCCTTTTGGTAGCCTGAGGGTTCTGATGACCCAGATCCCCCAGTAGCTGCCATGTTCCACAGCATGCAGCTCATAAGGCATCCCACTCTCCTGCCTTACACAAAACTGCATCTCATTTTTCCATTACGAAAAGAACAATTTGCCTCTAAACAACAGTGGACACACACCTGACTTCAGCATGCTGCTTCACTGTTTCCAGTCACACTTGTTAAAACACTTCAACCAGTGACCTATTCTTAAATCTTTCATTAAAAGAAGCTGAGTTTCAATGTTTATCTAGTAAAACCTGTTCATAACTGTATTCAAGGTCCATCTCCTTAAGGATGCTGTCCATCCTGCAGAGCTATGCTGGGAAAGGTAAGAAGTAGGAGCTACGTGGACCAATGCTGGACTTTTATCCTACAGACATACATTTGTATTACAACATACTATCCTGCTCCCTTTAAAATATGTGTGCATATTAAACCAAATCTATATGGAAGGCCTATTACCATATTGCAAGAAACTGAACTGGCAGATTTTTTAAGCTGAGTGACTGGAAACTCAAACTTTACCTGAATGAGATCAGCCTTCCTGGCTCCCCATATAGGGAGTGAAGAGAGACAGTGTCCCCCAGGTGGATGGTGCAGAACAGCTAAGTCAGGCTTCTGCATTGTCTCACCCTGTGCGGAGGACACCTGCTCTCTCTTTCTTTCTGACTTCACTGAAGACAAAGGGTCTCTAGGCAGGATTGGTTCCCTAGGTAAAATTGTCCTTTGGGAATATCTCCTAGATTAAAAAAATGTCTATAGGGTTTAAAGGGTCATTTATTTTATACCGTGGTTTATTTAAGCAAGGTTTGTAAATAAATTGCTTAAAAAGTGTTATTTTTAACATGCGGAAACAGACATAGCTGACTCATTCAGGATCACATTACTGAAATGTCTTAAAAAACCCAACCTGTTCCAATAAAATGGAATCAAATTGAATTTTCCTGATATCATGTTGCTTAAGCTACTGTTGATTTCACTTAGAGCCCTAAAAAATTTGCCCTCTTTAAAAGTAAACCAATGATGCATCCTTCACATACATAGCTTTTCAGATACACGATATTAATTTTTTTTTCTATAGCAAAATGACTGACATTTGCTTGTGTACTAGGGCAAAGAATATTTTCTGTCTAAGACTGACATTCTTTTCAAAACCATTTGCCTTTAATAGACAATCATACCTTTCGTTGCTTCCCAATTGCTGAATTCTAGTAAAAGGCTTTTTTAAGAAAATGAAATAAATGTATTTGTACAGTGGCATCATTTTTTTGGTTTATATTTATAACTATGCATTGTGAACAATTAAACCCTGACATTTTTCTGGTTTTCATTTCACAAGGAACTAGTACAAGACTTCTTTCTGTTGGCTAAATACTTTCTTAGAGTTCTTACCTGACCGACAAGCAATGTCCACGTCCTTTTCAAAATCAGTCTGTAACAAGAAACAATGAAACGGGACAACCGTTATTAATTGAAAACTAAACTGCAATATCTTTTTTGCCAACTAGCACTTCCAAAATGTCCTACTTACGGAGTCATAGTCTCTTAAAAGTGGTTTCTTGTTGCTGAGAAGGTGAAGTGTATTGTTTTACAACAGCAGAGCTTTACAAAGTTTCCTAAAGTAAAACTGGGTGGTTTTCAAAGTATGCTGCCTGACCAGAAAAAATAAAATAAAATAGGTGGAAGTAGAGTATATAATTTTAATAAAATGATACAGTGTATAGGTTTTTTATGTATATGGAAGAGTAACTTCTACATCTCATGGAAGGATCATCTTTAAGGAAGATTTTCATAGCAATTTTATAAACAGAAGTATGGAAAGTAGCCTGCAATAGAAATTACTGTGAATAAGTGTAATCCAATTATTCCACCCTGTCCGAAACTTCATTGATTTGTTATGAAGCGGTTATTTGTTATGTAACAGTGTGTCCATCCTTGCTAGTAATGTAATCCCATAAAGTTTGTAGTCCCTAAAAACAACTATTATTTATGTCATTGGGCAAAATTTAATTGCAAGAGCTAAGAATGAATTTTAACAGTTGAAAATCCAAGCACAGTTTTCCCATTTAAGCAAAACTATTTATCCTGTTACAGAAATCGATTAAAGTATGTTTTTACTTCTACAAAAAGTTTATTACCTGAAAAATTTTTAATAAAGCTGACCTCCTTCTTGTTTGTGAAGTCCAAACATTGCATTCTTTTTTGATTCACCATTTTTTGAACAACATCTCCATTCATAATCTTTTGATGGACATTGCTGAGCCTTTCATATTTTTAGGGCCTGATCCTGTCCCCATTTTAATCAATGAAAAACTGTCATTGAAAGTGAAGGGACCAATATTTCGTCTTAATATACTGCCTAACAATATAGTAAATCCAAAAAGGCATACTAAGCCATTCACTATCTCCTTAATTAAAGCCACTAAATAGATTCCCCCTTTAGAATCTCTAGGCCTTTCTCCTTCTCTGAATTAGTTTGAGAGGAACATTTTTCAAGGGCTCATGAAGGGAAGACTCTCAAATGTATCAGTGCTCTTTACACCAACAGTAGGAAAAGTCACGATATATTATTAGATTACTTTCTCATTTTCTTATGTAAGAATCTTTTGTCATAAAGAACACTGTTGGAAGATAGTAATTCACTGTGCTCCACTAAATGATCACACCAATAATTCAAAACTTGCTAAGAGATTTAAGCAAGCAGACAATGACCAAAACCGACTTACACTTAAAAATCGTGTTTATATTTCAGCTGTACATACTTGCCATGTACAGTACAGTAAGTTTTATTCTTTTGGATAGGAACACTAAATTAAGAGTCAAAGTAAAAAATAAAAGCTAACCATGATTTGAGCATGTCCATTAGGAAAAGAACTTGAAGAATCTGCATTGATTGGATCCTGGCAATTTCTCAGTCGACATCTGAATGCATCTTGAACCTGTGAAAACAATATCTTATACTGATTCTTGTGCAACATCATATACTCTACTCCTATTAAAGATTAAATTAAACTGTATGGAATACAACGCATGGCTTTTCTTTAGCATACTTAATAAATCAGAGGCAGTAAACATAAATGTTTATTTCTGCCATTTCATACATTTGCTATATTTTGTGGCTGCTGCAAAATGTGTCAGTCTGTCACTCCAAAACTAATGAATAAGATTTGCCTATGGACAGAATTAACTAGCAGTCAGTGATGATCTGGTACTCAAGCCAAATCTGTCTTGGGTGATAGTATTTGACTGTGCCTTCTCATTCTGTTTGGTACAGGTTTGGAAGGAGGAATAATAGATATACTATTAACCATTGCAAAATAAAATGTATCATCTTCTGCTCGATAAATGTAAAATACTCGAAAGACAGTTCTTAACGGTCACATAGTGCTCTCCTGCTTATACTGTAAAGAATAAGTAAATTTGAATGATGTTACTGATTCCAATCATAAGCTCTAACTCCATGTATAGGGAATCTTATGCATTTCTTGTAGGAGTAAAACTCTTCAGACTTAAGGTTAATATCTTCCGTGTGAAGATAAGAAGAAGAAAAGTGGACTGTTTGCACAAAGACTAGTTTCTTGAAACTAAAAAAAAAGAAATAACTTCTATTTACTAAGATGATCCACAAAGTAAATTCGAAGACTTGTCCCTAAAACACAAGTATATTTGAGGAATTATCTTTTTATAGGAAAGGCTATTTTTACTTTGATTTTGGGCAGAATATCTGTATAAACAAATATTATTACACAACACTTTTTTCAGAAAGATACAGTTCAACAGAGAGGCACACTCGAAAGAAAAATACAGTTCCTGTCCACTGACAGTAGAATGCAAACACATTTTAGTGCTTTCTCACATGTACCACAGTAAGAACAGCAAGGCAACTTTTGAGATGGAAAGTTTTAAAATGTGAATTTTGGTTTCAGAAATGTAAGTATCCCTATTAGCAACCTGATTGCAAGATGTGACTTGGAAAACAGGAATTTAGTTGGACAAACTCCAATCAAAACAAACTCGTATAATTTCTTGTTTGAATATGAAAATACTCTCAATGAAATGCCTACAAAAATCTACATTCCATTTATTATCTGTAGAAATTACTTGATGTCTTATTCAGAATAATTAAAGGGGAGAAAATAGTATTCTAGTCATGGACATTTTGCGAACAGCAGAAGAGGATAACTCATTAATTGTTGCTGATGAAAAGCCGTCCCCTTTCAATACATCATATTCTACTGCAAGCTGTTTAAGAGGTTTCACAAAAGGCAAAATGAAATAGAAAAAAAAATATTTATTTTTGTAATTAGGAAGCATTATTTTAAAATGCCTAACTGCTAAATGAGTAAGAGCGCTCTGCAGTCTTGATGAGTGACTGTTACAGGTGGAGGAAGACTGATATAGGGCAGAAAGAAGAATGGAGTAAGGTAGGAAGGTTTGGATTGATTTCAAAACACTGAGGCTTCCCACATGTGGTAAGGAAATGTAAGGTGTGCTTGACCTGTATCGTGACTCAGATTCTGATTTTAGACACATTTGCTGTGGTTTTCCATGTGTTTGACATTAATTTAATTTGGCATCTCCCAGTTGTTGCAAATTTAAGCCAAGTCTTTTCTCACTTTATCAATGCCGAAGTCAGGTGACACTTCAGAGTTTTATGCTCTTGGATAAGCACTGGCACAGTGATTTTACAAAAAATAAAATAAAATAAAAATCCCTCCCTCCAAAGCATCCTCAGTTGTGCTGAATCTCATCTCAAGCCTTGACCCCAAAGCATTATTACTTCAGAACATATTGTGTGATCTCTCACTCTGTGCTGTGGGCCTCCTTATTTTTGGGACCCTGTGTTCATGAAGCTTCCCCAGTTCAGATAGCTCCAGAGATCTCAAGAATCTCATGTCCTACTTTCACTACCTTCTATTTTAAAGTGCTGAATCTTGATGTTAGGATCCTCTTAAATGTGCATGTTTCTTACAATGTTTCTGAAGTGAAAGCAGCATATGATTGAACATGTTAAGAGAATGTCAAATGCAGCTGTATCCATCATACTGACATATGTTGTAACTTCTAGGTGTCCTCACACAAGTCAGAAACAAAAAGGTTGAACTTTCTAAATACCAGCTTATTTTTCTAAATGGCTTGTTCAAACTTGTTGTTTGAGTATATAAAGACCATGCTGTCTTTACATTTTACTTTGAAACATGATCTTGCTTCTCTCTCCCTTTTAACATCAAGATACAAGATTTTCTTAGAGCAAGGCAGAGCAGGAGAGACCGATGTGGTGAACGTGTGGATACCAGGGAAGTGGTTTCCTTAGCAACAGTAACCAACTCCAAGCATTTATAACTTACCCTCTCCCTACTCATGCACTCTTTTATTTTTCTCCTGCAATACAGAAATGTGGGCTTTAGACGCCAACGATGCATTTAATCCAACTGCTCTCTAGTCAGCAGAGCACAGCAAAAGAAGAAAATACGTGTGGGTTCCTCCCATCACTGCATTAACAGGAGTTACTCAGTGTGATTCAAATTAGCTTTGCAGCATCTTGCGTTCAAAAAGGTCAGGCAAACTGTTTTGCTCTGATGGAGAAGCTTCAGCGCTAACCTCTCCTATCATTCTCTGTTCTGTGACACATACTTCAACGTCTTCCAATGCCCAATTAGGTATTTCAACAGCAAGAAGAAGAAAAAAAACCCTAGGCTTTCTGAGCTAAGAAGGCAACATAAAGCAATAATACCTAACTCTTACTTTGCATTTTTCTTTCCTAATTTTCAAATGGTCTATAAGAGGCCTCCTGCTTAAGAAGTACTATATTTATCTTAGAAGTTAAGGAAATGGAAGTATAGAAAGATTTAATATCTTTTCAAAAGATGCTGAATTGATGGAGGGTGGAAATAGACACAACACATCACTTAGGTCTCTTCTAGTTGAATGTCTTACTCAGTGAATATCCCTGGCTTAATAATGCAGCCCTTCTCACACAAGAGCTTTGATATAGCATACTAGAGAAAATAAAAAATCATTCCATCATTTATGTTTATATCAATATAACTAAGAGGAAAAACAGGGGGTTATATATATAATTGTAAAAGTCTGTGTCTTTTTGTAATGTAACAACAATAAAGGCATAGTAAAGCAGGGCTGTCCTCTTCTTTGTTGAATTTTATGGTGATATATTCCACCCCATATTTTGTTTCCTGACAGTCAGAATTATTGTTTTGCCTGTGCTGGCATGCTATAAATATTAGATCAATCCTATAGGCTATAACTGAGATAGCTTTGTAGCTGTCATCAAGAGTGACAAATATGTTGGCAGGGTTTCCCTGACAGGCGCTGGCAGAGCAGAATGCTTTTGCAGACAACAGAAAGTAAGAGACTATTCTTTCAGCCGGGGCGGTACCCTGTGCAGTGCACGGACTGCATTGCACACTCTGCCTGACGGCCCCTATCTTGGTTTGTACTCACCTAAGGATCTCTGGAGCTAGAAAGCCAGACTCGCCAGAGACAGATTGAAACATAACTTGCTGGAGTTATACTTCTTTCTGTGTAGGAACTTGTTGCAGTAAACAATTACATCTGCTGCTGCAAGTTGGTCTAAGTGAAGACCATACACATTTTTGAAACAAAAGTTGTTTCAAGTGCATCAACTTTTAATTCTTTGCTGTTCTTGAAGAACTCTTATTCATTTCCTTTTCCCATATTAAAAAAAATACCTTAAGTAGTTCCTCAAGTGCTTTTACTCGGTTTACAATTTATATCTGGAGGACTAAAGAAGATTCAATGTGTTCTGTCAAATAGAGTTCAAAGAGCAATACGCCTAGGGTTCTTTGTCTTCCACCACCAGCACTGTCGTTGTCTTGACTGGAGATAATCTACTGATTAGTGAATATCATCTCTATACACTTACTTCTGCCTAAGTTGTCATGACTGAAGAAAAAAATCCTTCCCCTCATTGATAAGGGACAACCTTACCAAACCTAGGTGCTCTCTGGGCCTCACTGGGAAATTTTCTCATGAGGCAATTTTTTAAAATGCCATGTAGATAGATCGATTAGCTATTTTATCAAATGCCTTTCTTCTAGAATGTCAGTGTTAGGACTGGCAGGTGTAACTGACAAGTCTGGTTTGCACGAACAACTCCTTTAAGTAGTTAAATGAAATAATGATACTTTGCAGTTAGATATGTATATGCGATTTGCTAAAAAAGCAGTGAATAAAATAAACCGTAACTAGCTGATTGCCTACTCACAAAAAATGAGGATTCTAAATCCCTGTATAAACATTTTTATGAGCAGATATTTTTGCATATTGTTTGCACTGGAACCAGTGAGTTAGAAGTGGTTCAAGTCAAGGTACCCTACAAATTTGAAAACTGACTTTACTTATAGAAAAGACTAATTCCACCTCTACCACAACAGTGCTACCTGTGAGTAGGATCAGACAAGAACGTTTCCATGAGATGATCAGCAATATCAAAGCATTCCCTGGGAACAAAGAATTTGCAGCAAATAGCTGTCATTAGAGCAGGGAACCTGTCTTGAATTCAAGGCTTGGGGCATTGTGAGAAGATGCCCGCCCAACTTCATCTTAAGCAGTCAAAATATTTTTTTCCAGATAAACTCCTGCACCACTGCACTGAGGCAGGTTTAATGTCTGATTTTTTTTTTATTTTATACAATGCCATGCTATGTTACTTTTGGAGTTTCTCATGGATTTTGGCCTGTTTTTTGATGAAATCAATGACTGATAACCAGGTATGTGTTGCAACTTCTCTGTATCCTTGTCAAGGACACAAGGAAATGGAATGAAGTTGCTCAGGGGAAGTTCAGATTGGACATTAGGAAAAGGTTCCTCACTGAGAGTGTGGCTGGTCACTGGAACAGGTTTCCCAGGGAAGTGGTCATGGCACGGCCTGTCAGAGTTCAAGGAACATTTGGATGATGCTCTCAGTCATATGGTTTGGTTTTAGGTAGTCCTGAGAGGAGCAGGGAGCTGGTCCCTTCCAACTTGAGATATTCTATCATTCTATGAAAGATAATGCTGTTTATGCTGCTTTGTTTTTGAAAGTTTCATCTGCAACCTTGAGCTAACGATATATATTTTAAAATAAAAATTTTTCCTCGGGACAGTAAATGGGAGGTGGTATGCCTTTCCAGGCTAATTAATATATCCCAATGGAAATACAAATTTCATAGACAGGAAAACCAGTATGGAACTGCTATTCTTTCTACTGAAAATAGTTGCAGTGTCTTACCGTTTTACTAAAAGAATATGTGAAATTATGGCTTTCAGTTCTACAGATGAGAATACCCTCTTTCACAGACGTAAATCATATGGGGAAAAAATGCTGTAGAAAATAAGGGGATAGCAAGACAGTTCTACATAAAATAGATTTGTCTTGAGTATTATCTCTTATTCTGCACATATTTTTACCCTGAATCAAAAAAAAAGAGAAAAAAAAAGAAAAAAGAAAAAAAGAAAAAAGAAAAAAGAAAAAAAGAAAAAAGAAAAAAGAAAAAAAAAGAAAAGGTATTAAAGGAGGTAAGCCCCTTACACTATAAAAGCTGATAAACTAAGAAAAACAAAAGTTCATAGTCTCTAACAGCTTGAATAACATGGGAAGGAGTCAGAACAATGGAATGTGCTAATTTCTGCAAGATACAGATAAGCTTTTTCTTTAAAACCCAAAAACTTAATTATTTGATAAGATAATAACATATGCATACTGTGTAGGATAGTGATATAAAGTTCATGCAAAGTGGCACACTACTGAAAGATTGAAATAAATTATGTCATTCATAATTATTTTTCATTAATATAGTAAGTTTCAACGTTTAAAGGGTGTGAATAGTGAAAAGGGAAACCACTGTGTAAGATCCCTCACTCAGCATTGACAATAAAATTTTCTTGAAACATCTGCCCGCTTTTTTAGTCCCAAAGTGCTTTTGAGTAACTCTTGCTGATCACAAGGAACCATGCTAGACAGTGTAATTTCATTTATTGGTGTAGTAACTATCCTGAAGTTGATAAATGGCTAACACATAGGTATGCCAGTGGACCAGGCTCCTGCTCTCCAGTCCAGCTAAGCCTGATCACTTTTGGTAGAAGGTCCCACTACCACAGATCGGCCAGCAAAGCTGTTGTGCTACTGCTCTCAAACCTATCTCAATAAAAATGTAGGGTTAGTTAGCAGGTTAGATAGGTTAGAGAAGCTGTCACCAGAGCCAGGTTAAAGAGCACTTGTGCGGTAGATTTGACATCAGACTTCAGTGGTGATGAATTCTGCGGTGGGTGGCACCGAGTAGTCAAGGGCATGCTGGGGCACTAGGTTTTCCTCACTGTTCTAATAGTGTTCTTCTGCCTTCATCCTCACCGTCCCCATAACTTAAGTACGTTACCTTAAGTCTGTACTTGAGTTTGTAGAACTGAAAGGGTAGATCTTCACCAATGTAACACCTCATCTGCTGGTGTCCTCTTTCGGGGACAGTAAAAGCAGAAATACTCTTGTGTTTGAATCAGTTTTAGAGACTGTAAAAATCTATAGCTTTTGGTCTTCAGGAAAAGGGCACTCATGCTAGCATTTCCCTATACTCACAATATTGGGAAAGCCTAACACTTAAAAATAAACCAAACTTTGGAATGACTAAATGCCACTATTAAGTAGGTACAGTTTTATACTGAAACTGACATTCTGCACCTGGAATTAACTGAACTTCCCTCTCTCTCTTTCACTTGTTCCTCTACACCTCACCATAAAATACTTTTCTCTTTCTATGAAAGATTTCCACAGAGCAACCTGTATATAACATTAAAGAGCAGTTGAGAGATTAACAGAAGCACAGCTCTTTAGAAAACTGGGAAGCCATTCCTCACCTCCCTTCGCAGAATACAATGGACCATGACAATAACAAAGCCTTGTAATGAATCAAATACTGCAAAAAGTATCTGAAATAGTATTGATCTTTTGTCTGTCATGGCCAGAACTGCAGACATCCAAGTCAGCGCCAGAAGTGGCAACACCACACAGGAACTCCAAAGGGATGCCCTATTGAAAAAAAGAGAAAAGCGGCACTGTAATATTGTAAAAAAAAAAAATTATTAAAAGCCCACTATTAAAATAAACATATTTAAGGATGGCAATTTATCAAGCTAACTTGAAAATCACAGACAAGAATGAAACAGTGTCGGTACTTTATGTTCTAAAGAATATCCTGTATTCAGTTAATAAACACAGTTGCAATTATTTATTGTTGTTGTTGTTAAAAAGTATTTAAACGTGCTCAGCACTCTATACAGTGTTAGCAAACACAGTTGTCATCATCAAACTATTGTCTCACATGCACTGTATAAGATTTGTAACAAGAAGATGTAAATGATCAGGACTAACATGGCATTACTGGCGGTGGTGGCTGACAAAGCTGTTGTTGAAACTACTCCACACTTGGCACATTTGAGCGTCAAACCGCTATGAGGCTCACTCATCTGACTGCAAACAAACAGAACACCCACAAAAAGAACAAAATATTGAATTGTCACCAAAAAACGTTGCTACTGAAATTTAGCTTTTAAATATGACGTCATGCAGAAAAAGTAAGTAGACTTATTCAGGATGAATGCTCTATGTTGTTGCAAAACTGTACTTTGTACTTTACGTTATTGTTAGCTTTAAATGTTAATGCTATGGGGCTTTGTTTCATGCAGACTTTAGTTCTTCTGTTTAAGCTAAAAAAGGCCCCAAATGTCCAGTGATCAAAACTGCTCAGTACACTGAAGTGAACATAAGCACGTGCTAGGATAGACACACAAAGTGAAATCCCTCTATTCAGACCTGTTAAAAGACTGTTGTATCCAAACTTGCTTGAGAAACAGTATAGGACACTTAAAGGAGGAGTAAGAAATATGTATAATTACAGAGCATTAATAAGGAAAGAAACCTGCAAAATGTATTCAAGCATCAAATCAGTATGGGTATACCGTGTAGTCAGATTTGCATGGCCCACTAACATCTGGAGTGATTTTATTCATGCCTTATGAAGGTCTGAATACAGGGCTTGAAATGTATGGAATCTGATGAAATAAGTATCAGTCAGTACTAAAAAAAGGGTGACCTGGTTTGCATTTTAATAAAACACAGTACACAAGCATTAAGCTCAAAGCATTTTGTATGGACAATTGTACCTCGGCACCTGTCAGAAGAGTTAAAGGGCAAAACCTGGAATTTAAATTTTCTTTTACATACAGCATGCATTCAACTTCCTGAATTGACTAAATAAAGACTTTTGCTATTCCTTCCCTTTCTGCTATCAGAACCAGGAATAACCACAGCTGACTGAGATGTGACAGGAAGGATGCTTTACCTATTTCCAGCTGGAAAGTGGTCAACATGGTGAAGATAGGTAACACTTCAGTTTTTCCCCAGTTATTTCAACGAACAGAACTCCTTTTTATCGCCAAACCCAGCATTCACAAGATTTTTAACATACTGCCCCAAACAACATTGAAATCCAGTGGTTTCCATTTTGATAAACCCAGTGATGACTTTCCATAAAAAAGTGCAGTATATGTTCCATAAAAATGCAGTTTTCCCCATAAAAAACAATGAGAACCACGATGTTGTATAAGGTGATTGTGGGGGGTGAAAAGAACTCAGCGACTGCACATCCGTTCACACCAATTAAAGATTTACATTAATGAAAAAACTAGAAAAATGCCCTGGGTAAGCTTAACCTAAGCTTGGGAAAATATTTCCTGTCTTTTCTTGGCAATACTTCAACATTATCAGACGAGATTATTCTCTTTACTTCTCTAGATTTGTTCTGGATCTTGCAAATAATAGAACTTGATGTGTATATACACCAAATAGAATCTTTCTGGCTGGGCATATATGCGTGCTACCCCTTATACCAGGAAAATGATTTATATCCATCAAGACACTTGTTGATTCTCCATGTGCTTATCAAGGTGGAAAAAAAAAATTATGGAGTTCGCATATTTTGCCCCATTCACGGCTTCAAATCCTACAGAAATGATTTCTACAGCTGAACTTTTGACTGAACTTTTGACAGATACAAGCCCAATGTTTGCCAGAAAGAATGAAGTTGCCTTCCCGAGCATGACCAGCAAGACATACTTGAGAAACGAGTGACAATCCCCTTTCTACTGGAGGTCAAATGCTGCACCAATTTCTATGCCCCAAAGAATGACTCAAGACACTTTATCTGCCAAGTAGTATCAAGGAATGCTGTTGCCAAGCCACCATCTCATACTATCGCAAAAGTTAAGATTGTTTCCTGATTAGGGCATCTATATGCTTTCCCAGAACAGCTGGATTGTTTCTGACAGAATAATGTCTAGTTCTTTATCCATTTACTTTAAAATAAAAGACCTCTTTACTAAGTTGCCCGCTGTTAGAAAGCAAGTTATTTGTTTCATCAGGAAAATATACAATAAGCTAATAGATTTCTATAGCTGACAATTGAGTAGCTGAAAAAAAAAATGATGCAGTTAACTCACAGCTTGGATACCCTTAGAAAATGTACAAAGCAAACCTGTGGCTGCTCCAACTGCTTAAATCACTGTAATTAGAGGAGATGTGAATTTGAATTGGTGATTACTAAGTTATTACTACTCTTGAAATAATTTGGGTAGTTCTATAATATTCTAGATTTCATCAGTGTTATTACATAGTTAAGAATGTTGATGAAGCAACATAGACAAAGGTAACGTTAAGAAATTAATACTTTCTAATAAAAAAAAAGATGAAAAGGGAAGAAACAAAATGAAAGCTTTTGGTATGTATTTGTCAGAATAACGGTGAAAGAGCTGAAAACCAGAAAGAGTTAATTGAATTAACATTAAATGTAATTCACACCAGCTGAAGTACATGTCAAATATTTGCTTATCTAACCAATGAATTGAACTTATTAGGAATGCTACTGGTAGTGAAACGGTAAAATAATTGAAAGTGAAACTGTAATAAATTTACCCATAGCAGTAATACACAGTAAAATAAAGATATCATTGCTAGAAATGCAAATATTGGTGGTGTTAACTACAAGCTGGCCCAAAAGACAATACTAGAACAAGAAGCTGTAAAAAGCGATTATGCAAAGTTTAAATATACTTTCATAAACATTAAGAAGGTGATGATGCACTTGTGAAATACTTTTCTCCAATACGGAATGAATGTAAGTTTGTTGCTGTACTACTTCAAATCATTGTCATCCACTAAAAAACAGTTTCTAACACCACCACTGTCATAAACCTTTCTTTTGATGATAACAAACAGAATTTAAATGCAAATGCAAGTAAATAATCAATAACACAGAATTTCCATTTACCTTTTTTCTTTTTTTTTGTTTTTAAAACATTTTTTTTTACTTTGAAATTCTGCTACACTAATTTAAAACATACATCTATGTAGATATGGATGTAAGAACAAAGGCAAATTCTTCACGTAGTCAGAATGGCAGAATAGGATTGACCTCAGTAAGGCATATATTGCTGTAAAACATATTTTATAACAGTTTACACAAATGAGTAACATTTCCCACCATAGTAATTAAAGTTGACAGCTAGACAAAAATAATCAGTTCCTTCAGTACACACAGTTCATAAAACTGTTTTCCTGACTGCAACAACTTTGCGTGTGTGACATTCTTGTGAAACCTCTGCTCCGATTTGTTTAATCCTCATTATTATTAACTTAATACTCTTGTACTTGTGTTTTATTATGTTTAGTTTGTTTAGTTGCATTCCCTCAGGATAATGCAACAGCAGTGTTTGAGATGAATGGAATCTGTTAGACACACTGTTACACTGAAATAAAAGTTCAAAGTATAATCAAAAGCATTTTTGGTGAATATCTGTAATTGAAAATTGGTGATGCAATTTGGATATGCTTTAAAATAACCCAGTTGTTGCTTACCCCGCTCTGTGTTTGAGCTTTTTATCTAGGATTCCATCTCTGGAAACAAGTTTATTAAATACCAAAATGCCAATCACCATGTTGACCTGCCAAACAGAAAACAAACAGTTGATCTTTCATTGCCTGAAAGAAAACACTTTATCCTATTACTTCAGAAAAAAGTTTTTACAGGCCTGCAAAATACCTCCTGTTACATTTCTGAGTATTCCATCAGAAATTGTGTAACACTCTCGCTGAACACACCAAAAGTGCGTATTCTCAAATGGGTAATACACATGCACACCACAACAGGTTTATTTTTGAGTCTTGAATTATGCCTGGTATCAAGTTATATGCAAACATGTCTGCTGGCCAGAAGCTTGAGTAATACAGCTTTAATATTTCCTCTGTTTTAATTGCAATGATATATCCTATTCCAGGAAAACCACTGCATTTGAGCTGTGTGCAGAGGGAAGAGCTAGTCAGAGAACACGATGACCGTAACCGTGTTCCTTTTTAAGCATTTGGGGCCCGCGTGGGTGTTCCCGCTTACGCAGAACCAGCCTGTGGTTTTCCATATCCTCCTGCACATCAGTCATTGTCCATGTCATTCACAAAAATGCCACTCTTGGGCCTCATTTAACTGCCGTTTCCTTTTTTTTCATGTGTGCCAGATGAATGCCTGGGGTAAGCCTGTTTTGCTCCATTAAAATAAATGGTGTTATGATCACATATATGGGCTGAAGACCTAACCTAAAAAAAGAATTCAAGTGTTTCAGCAGTCAGACTTTGGCACTCAATGGACATACTAATGGCATTTAATGGACAGCTTAATGACTGTTATTATCTATTTGTATTATTGAACTGAACTCCACGAACCTGTCTCTGCATGGCCTGCAAAGAGGTAATACCAAGTTTTGAATCTATTAAATAAAAGTTCCTTTTTATTATTATTATTATTTTAAAAGGGTAATCCTTTTTTCCTTTCTAACAGATTTTTCAAGACCTGTGCCAAAATACCTAATTGTTGCCAGTCTGTCCTGCCAACTCTTTTGCAGCTTTTCTTATTATCACTTTATTTTCAGCATTTACATTTTTCAGCCGATGTTACATAATTCTTTTGCTTCGTACACTTAGGCTTAAGTGGCTGCGTGGAACAGCTCCTTCCACAGCTACTAGCTAATGGTAGGGCAAACTGCGGCTGTGAACTTCAACAATCTCTGAACAAAGCTTGCCAATTACACCGAGAACATACAGTTCCATGTGAAAATTATGACTGGCTTTTTGTAAACATCCTTGGCTCCTCTACCATGACAGGGACTGTGAGTTGTACAAAAGGATCCTGGCTTGACTCCAGGCAATGATGAGACAAACTCTATGGGAGTAGTAAACATCCATTTCAGGAAAATCTGTGTAGCTAAATGGCTGTATCTTTGATGACTACTAAGACCGATTCCCTCTTGCAAGGGAAAATCAGAAATAACCAGTGTTGATAGACCTGTCCTCATATAAAATTGGTGGAGTGGAAAAAAATAATTAGATTCAAAATCTGTTAGGGAAAAATGCTAAACAAATTATTTTAAAAATCCATACAGGCTGCAGAACAGATGACTGATAGCGGATGGCACATGTAGGGTGCAATTCATCTTACACTAAAGTAGACACCTGAAATAATTCTGCCGGTTTAAGCCCTAAAAGCGCATATTTTTCTCCACTGGCAATGAAATATGGCTGGTATAACTAGTTTAGATGTAGATATCCACATTGCAGATGCCTACAACTAGGCAAAGTGAATCCTACACCTAAACGCATTTCCAGAGATGTGGAAGATTAATACACAAACAAGTAACATTTCCCAGCTACGATGATTTTTTTCTTTGCCTTCAAAAGCAGTAGCCATGGAGAACTTGCTGGCTGGTTCCACTCCTCCTGTTGCTTTTGCTGGTACAGCGATACGCTGCCAAGCAGCACTCTATCAAGACTGTCACTGAACTTCACAAGGCAGCGACAATTGTGTAGATGCTACTGATAATAACTCAGTGATGCCTGCAACAAGTTTTCTGTGCCACTAATCAGTACATTATTCTTTCACAGCTTACTGTGTAAACACGGAGAGATAATTGGTGTAAAGAAGTCATACAATTAAATGAATCATGCATTCAAAATACTGAAGGTATGTTAAACAATACTGAGCTCAGTATTTATAGCAAAATGTAATGCTACTGTATAGCTAAGCTTTTATAATTTAAATAGCACATTCCATCATTTCCTATGAAAATACTGGAAATTATATTAATGTTTACCAAGACGACAGCAGCTGCAGGTCCAACGAAAGCATAAAGCAGCCCTCCTTCAAGAGACAGCCAACAACTGGAAAAAACATTAGAGAAGAACTAACACAAATTAAAAATAAGTATAACACATTACCAAGAAAGCATTAATAATAACCACAACATGAGAATCTTCTGGTGTATGTTCAATCCTACATATATTCACATGCACACACAAAAAATAATTACTTTGTTGATATGATGACGTTGAGAGTTGGAAGTTATTTCCATTACCAATTGCTAATGTTTCAAAATTTTTAATGTGAATTATACATATACTGCAATGTATTAAAAGCACAATAGAAAATGTTTGCAAACCTTTATTATATCTGCTCTAACCATGTATGATGAGTTAACTGAACAGAAATTGCCAGGGAGGTATCTAGAAACATTTCCAGCTTACAATGTCTGACAGTTCTATACTTCAAGCAATGAAAGATCAAGTACCCGTAAGACAGTACTTAAGAAAAAACAGGCTTCTATAAATCTTCTCGTATGACATTTAGTAATCTCTAGTAGAACTAGGTCTTACAGACAATATTCTCATTAAAGCAAAATAATGTATGATCTAACTGTTCTGTATTCTCTGGAATACTTTGCAAACAATTTAAATGTATATTTTAAAGCATCTGAAAACTGTATTTTCTGGTGAGCTGCTAATATTGCACAGTTTGTCATACTGCATCAGGGCTTTCACTGCGAACCACCAGATTTCCAAACACAGAGCGCTTACAGAATCAAATTCTAAATATTTGATACACCATGATGTAAAGCTTTCCATATCTGCAAAAGATCTGGAGCTGCACACACTGAAGTAAATGCAGCTGTGCTATTTTCCCAGTGATTACACATTCAAAGAACTGCATGTTTATTTGAATGCAGGATCACACCTACATATAAGAAAACTCAAGTATATGCATTCAAATAATTTACTTGGATCTCACATCCAGAAACATTCACATCAGATTCATACATATCTTCTTTATTTTCCAGTGCTGTTTTCGTACTTTTGAAATCCAAGTAAATTAAATGCAAGCACATCATAATATTAATGGTCTGTTACGGCTGGAATTCCAACTGCAAAGAATAAAAGTGTTTCCCGTTGCAATGAAGCGATGTGAAATCTGCCACATGAATTCAGCTGCATCAGTGTGCTAAATTCTGGAATGACAAATTGATGCAAATAGTTCATATCTGCTTCACTGTTTAAAAAGGTAATAGATGTCAGGCTATTCTACATCCTACCTCAAAAAATAACTACAGCAATAATGTTCAATTTATTTTTGTAATGTCAAAGAAATATGTTTTCAAAATTTTCTGCAATTTTTCTTGCTATTTTTCCAAAAGCTAAGTTATTTATCATGAGAGACTGAGAACATGGGCTTCTGGGAGGGAGGAAAGTATTCACAGTAAATTTTCCTACCACTGTGAACTTTTAAACTTAGTGAAGATGACCACTCTGCATAACTAAGACATGTAATTAAAATGTTCATGTTTATTGGGAGACAGAAAATAAAAATTGTTGACTTATTGTATTTGAAACATAATTTCAGTTACCTGTGATGAAAAAAAGGGTCCAAAAGTTTTTTTTTTAAACAAAAAGAAAACAGTTTCTACCATGAAAATCTTTAAGACCATGGGATAATTGTTCCCTCCCTTTCCCATGCCCTCAAGTACAAAGGCTGTTCAAATATGTGACTTCCATTTAGAGGCAGAGCTGGAAAAAATTTAGAGGTTGTCCTCTTTACACAATCTCTATTTTCAACAATATGTATTTTCAACAATGTGTGACACGATTATTGCAATGTATTCAATATTTGCCAGTTGATGACTCTGAAATGGGCTTTTTCCCAATCATTTTCTGCTGAAGACTTTCTGAAGACAGATTCTCAGATGCCTTCTTGTACCATGAGGCAATTGGTGTCAATTTTTTACTATTTTTTCCTTCTTCTCTTCTTCTTTGCTCTGATAGCTTTTTTCTATGCTTTATAGTTGTTTTTATTTTGTTCTCCTGTTCTGTCTTCTTTCTTGCTGATCCCCACATAGCAGAAAGCCATATAAATTGATTAGTATTAAGAGCATCTACTGGTGCTTTTACAGGACCATGCTACACAGTCATAAAACTCTGCTGAGTGATGAAGTATCTGTAGACTTGTTCCTGTATCCTGTACATTTTGTAAGTTGTTTGATGGTCTCCAGGAGAACAGTTCTTTCTCTTAGGAGAGCACGACTATGACAGAATTTTAATTTTTGCTGATATAACCAATTCCTGGAAGTTATCTGCACTGCTCATTAATATGTTCATTAATAGTATGTAAACATCAGTAGGTCACACAGGTGTATTAATTATACCTTGTAGTAGTGGTGCTTTCATAGATCTATTAGACTCACAGAAATAGTGGGAAAAAACAATCAAGCTTTCAGACACAAATCTTTTTCAGATATCCTGAAATATCTAAAAACTTGTCACTGTGTTTTTAAATTATTTTTAGGAAAGCTTTTCAGCTTCTGTATCTACATCAGTACAAGTGTCTGTGTGAAATATTTTCCATATGTAGTTTTAAATGTCCACTAATATAATTGCCTAATAATTAAGACTGAGGAAAAAAGACAGAAATCAGAGACTTGATCACAGAACTGGTTGGAGTGTGAACAATTCAAGCCACCCCCATCAGTCATATACCATATGAAACTCAGATGTCTTTCAAAGATCCTTGTGTGTTCTCCATTTCTGTCAATCTCTTCATGTGTAGGACTATGGGAATAGAATCAATTCCTTCATTTTTGCTCTCAATTTTCTCCACTTGAAACCATCATTCTCAAAAATAGCATCTTAAAGCCCAGGAATAGTTTGCCACAGGATGTGTTTCTGATGGCAGCATGTGTGTAATTGATTGCAGCCGAACAGGCCAAACAGTGTAAGTGTAAGCAGTTAAAAATCTTACACAAGTGCTTTAGTTATGAGAGGAGGAGCAGGACAGGAGCTCTGCTTTTACGCCGCCCAAGTTGTTACAGGACATAATTCTTTGCTGGCTTCTACAGTGGGACAGAACATCAGCTAGTGATGGAGGAGGAATCTCCTTTCCTTGCATTCCCTGTTTTCCTTATGTAATTCTGATGTCAAATGCCAAGAAAATGTATTTTCAAATAAGATGAGAAAGCTGCAGTATGGTTCTGTTTGTTCCCTCTACACCTCCTTTTGTGCTTTTGTCCCACAGCACCGTGTCAGCGGAATTTCGGTCCTGGGAGAGTTGATGTTACATGTACAGAGACCTGCTCTTTTTTACTTTCCAGGTTACCCTTAATGAATGATTTGTTGCTTTGTCTGAATATTTCATCGTATCCTCTTTTAAAAATGCATTCAGCCCAGGAAGGAAGCAGGAAGCAACACTAACTAAAATAAGTAGTCACACATGAATGATTTCAGTAGAGTAAATGCAATGGGATTGATCCTGCAAGGGACAGACCTACGTCCCCAGTGGGGTCAGGACATCATAATTTTGAGATATGTAATTCTCACAGCCTAAAAGGTTCTCCAGTCCTGGTTCAAGGACTAAATAATAAAAAAGCCAGCAAGACGAGCACATATTAGAAAAAATGTCAAAGGAGCAGGTCCTCAATGTAACTCCCAGAAGATGGCTAAGACCGTTGTTTCACTAATGATTGCCAGCTACAAGTGCTGGCCCGCAGTTAATCACTTCAGTTAGGTAAGCCATTCCTCATTAAAAAAATGCAAGACGGCACTTTGTGACAATTTGAAACTAAAGACATCAGTGGTTAGAGCTGGTATTCCGTGGGAGATATGTTTTTGAATCATTAACCACCCAGAGCTGGAGCCTCCCCCGCCATGTGCCAGGACGGTGGGACACACAGGGCAGAGAGGGGGAATCCTGATCTTACTCAGTGATGATTCTAAGGAGAATAGTTAAATATTCATTGAAGTGAGGACTTGACCTAACTCATCCACATCTCTGATGAATGCCCTCATTACCAGACTACAGAGTCATATTTCCTCTCTTTCTGTCCAGATGCATACTTAATTTTTTAGGCAACGTGAGGAGAGCTCCAAACAGGACCACTGAAGGAAGCGTACTCTCGCATGCATAACATCTCGGTGGTTGGAGCGCTCTGCTGGCAGAGGGGAGCAGGAGGGAGGCTCAGCCCAAGCTCCTTCTTCAGCGGGACACAGCCAAAGGGTAGCCTCAATGAGGAGTGAATTTTCTGGGGTGCTAAATACGCCAAGTGGCTAAACAGAAACTGCATTGATAAAATGCAAACGAAGTACACAGATCTCCTCTTCGCTGTTTCTCAAATACAGGCCAGTCCAGGAAATGGCCTGGATCGGGCACTCCAGGAGAGAAAGGATGGATGGAAGAGCTGTTTTGAGATTTTTGGGTGGCTTTGGCTCCAAGGAGCTCAGGAGCATTAAAGCCGAGGTATGTGTTGGGTGGGCAGAAACCTGGATGCCAAAGAGCCTCTTGCCAGTACAGTTTTAGACATGTTCAGAGGTTGGCAAAAGCCAGCCTTAACATTTAACATTCTCTTCAGTAAATGTATATAAATGTTAGATGTCTAAGTGGACCTAATCCTCAGTGTTTCTAAAAGGCTTGCTGCTTCAAACCCTCACAAGAAACACAGGATCCCTGGTGCTTTGTTGAGCTCAGTCCAAGACTGGTATATGGTTTTTTCTTTGTTCTTTTGTGGACCACTCGGTGACTCTTAGGGCAGTTCCAAGTGTGAATGGATACCTGTAGAGTCTTTAACCTATGCTATGTAATTCCTGATGGGTATGACAGTCTTGTTAATTAAAAACATAATTTATCATTTTAGATTGACTTACTAGTGGGCTGTTCCATATCCTTTTGTCTTGGTAAAGCCTATTGATATTGCAACCACTAATGCTGGTAAACCTGAAAAAAAGAACCCAAAACAGTAATAACCATTAGCTGGTGAGCAAAATATTGCTGCTCTGCCTGGACAAAAAGTGACAGGGCATGATAATGCAAAACGGCCAATTTTACATGGAACGAACCATTTAATGAAGCACAGTGCTATTGCAGGATTTGTTTTTCTGAAGCACTGGCAGGGAGGAGGACACTGTTTTCTGCCCACGGTGTACCACTTTGATGTAGCTAAATTACTGGTACATTTGACAGGTCTTAAAGTGAACTAGGAAGAGGATTCATGAATATTCAGTGAATCTTTTTTTTGTTTTATTTTGATTTCATGATATTACACTGCTTTGCTGAAAATCTAAAATTTTGTTAAATCATATTTATAAAAGAATGCTAAAATATACACCAGTGTAGCTTGAACTTGAGATAAAGTGCAAAGGCTCCTAACCTAGTTTTCTTTTTAGTAACATGCTGTCTACTATCTTTCAGGTTTACTGAAGAAAATGATGCTATCCCTGACACTGTCGCTGCATTAAACATTTCATTCCAATGATTCTGAGGAAATGAATTTATGGACTTACCCCATCCAAGGCACAGGAAACGTTTCCTTATGAGCCGTGTCCTAATTTTTCCAGTAACAGCCATATATGACTGCCACGCTTCTGTCAAAACCCAACAGAATGAAGCTAAGAAGAAGAAGTGTAAAAATGCGGTGGTTGTGGTGCAGATGCCCTGCAGGGAGCAAAGAGAAGCTCATTCTGAATACTTAGGGACACTGATTTCTCTTTTCAATTCAAAGAGCTGTCATATTCTATCATCTTGACCTTTACCCTTAGCATCAATTCCCCCTTTATGATGTGATGGCCACAAAGAGAGAGAGAAAGAAAGAGGTGTTGATGGGGATTAGGCAGAAGAGGTCTTGACTGTTTTCACAACCACTGAGTGTGCAGAGCAGGAAAAAGAACACAAAATAAATCATGCCACCAGATCTTCTCTACACATTTACTTTGACCATGGATCATCATAACACCATTGTGGTAAGCAAAATTACAAAGTTACTGATTATAAAATCTCAGAGAGGCAAATAAAGAAAATGTGGGGATAAAAACACTCCTAATTGCCAATGTTTTTTTTTTCCCTCGATGCAGAAAGATCTTGACTGTAAATCTAAATTTTAGGCAACAGATTAAGTTTTATTTATTTATTTATTTTAATATAACTCTTATAGAAAGTTAACCTATTAGAATATACTGTCTGAGATCTTTTCAGTCAGGTTTAAGTATCATAACCTTAACAATTACCCTGGGATATTGTTTTTATGGGTGTCAGCCATTTGTCATGTGAAAAGTATTTTGAGCACATGCAATTGGCTTTCCTTTGTCACTGTAGCCCTTAATTAAACTTGACATTGTAGCTTATATAAATGAGCTTATTTGCATAAATGATGATCTACCCTTCACTGTGTTGCTTAAAGTGCCAGTTGCAAGCTATAAAATGAAGTGTCCATTGTACCCCAGAACTAAAACCACACCAGTAATGTTGAGAATAACCTTTTCACAATTTATCCTTATCCAATTTGAAGTGTCAAAATTCTATCAAAGTTAAAAAATAAGTATTTCACACACCCAATATTAACAATGCAAGATACAAGTTGAGAAATGTAGATATTATTTTGAGGATTATTTCTTTATGCAGCATATATATCTAATAGCTACTTATATGGTTAGACTTTTTTTTTTTTTGACTAAAAACCAAGTTCAGCAAACTATTTTGGGAGAAAATATGCAAGTTCCTAATTATATATAGATGCTTGCACATATTGTTGAATCGAGGCCGGTAGCTACAAAAATTTGGGAAGGATAAGATATACATGACACAACACAGGTTTTTTAGTTCATTTCATGCTCCTATTTTCTTTCAGTTCTTTTTATTTCAAATTTTCTCCTGTGTTACTTTTCCCAGATTCTTACCTGAAATCAATTGTATTGGTTCACTCCAATAATTGTCTCAAGTACATAGCTGATAGCTGATATCAGCTGATATCAGCATTAGTTGATATCAACCTCTGAACTTTCAAAAAGTTATGCACTTGAATAGTCAAAACTTAATGATTTCCTGCTATGAATTTACAGATGTAACAAACACCTTGCTTTCTAATCTTGGGTCAAATTGTCTATTTAAATCTAGGGCAAAGGGGTTCTACATAACTATATGCAAGAGAACGATTGTTTATTTTTAAAAGAGAGGAATGTAAATTGGAAAACAACAGCAGGTCCTGAAAACGCACTATTCATTTCATCCTAGATTTTGCTATTAATTCTTATGTTTAAATGTCCCTGAAGCATGTGGATTCATAAAATCTACCTGTTAAGCCTGACTGATAGCACTATTTCCTGTATATGAAAAAGAAATACTTATTTAAAATGAAAGCTATGCAGTGAAACACACAATGAATAGAATAGAAAACACAGAAATGTCCTCTCTTTTACTAGCTGCCTTATATGTTATGAATTCCCACTATGCAACTTTAATTTGCCTTCCTATCAATGTTTTTGTAAAAGCTAGCATGTTCTGCTGGACTGAGAATTTGGCAATAAAATTACTTTTGAGGAATAGTACAGAATCTGTTAGGGAAAAAACGCATAGGTAAAACACAGTATTACCTTGAAAAAAATGTGAATATGCTATTTCCCTTATAAATAATGCAAATACAAACAAATCCTGATCTTTTTGGTGAAAACATTGCTATCTCTTACGGCTGAGTCAGTATAGACTGTAGGATTTAGTTCATAATTTATCCCCTGTACGAAAAGAACGATAGATGATGATAATCTGAGACAAATGTAGACACGGCTGTTGTGGAAGGAAGAACTGTGATGGAAATGTTAATCATGTTGATCACAAAATGAGAAGACAGAAGCAAGTTTTGTAAGAAGCGATCTGTGCTCTGGCTGGAATACATGACTGCTGATTATAACTAACTCTTCTGTATGGCAGACAGGGGTCTAATGAACACCGATGGCAAGTCCGTATCACTGATAAAACAGCATATTTGCATCACATACCATCAGGAAGATGCAAATCAACCTCAAAACATCACCTAACAACCGATGTGGGATTGTGATGACAGAATCGCATTCAGGCAGTGCTTGAAGTGAATTCAGCCTCCCTCCTTCCCCAGCCAGAGAAGCACTCCTGGCAAATGAATCTCCACTCTCACAGGTAAAGCCATGGGCTCAGCACAATTGACCAATACCCCCCTGGAAATCTGGCTTTCATGTACTTCTGTATTCCTCCCCTTTGATAAAAAAGTAAACAAGCAATGCTGCGCTCTCTGGGAAAGTGCTATATCTGGGAAGTCTATTTCCAAGTAGGAACAAAAATTCATTTTCACCAAAGGCTGTTACTAAGCGGAGCATCGTGTATCTCTAGCCAGGGAGCCATAATTTTAGCAAGTACTTTATTAGTGTTTTTTTCTTTCTCACCAGGCCACGGACTACTCCCAGCCTCTCCTTCTCCCTCTCCTCTTCTCCCTTGCCAAGGGACTATCACCTCCCCTCACTTTGCTGCTCATCCAGCCGCATCGCTGAAACCTTGTGGCCCATCGCTCACAGAAAGCCACAGTGTGTCAACCTGTGTGCACCAAGAGATAGTGGTACGCACCTTCCCCGTTGCTTTAGCAGGAGATGTTTCTTACTTGTTTCTAATTCTAGTTTATTAAAACTCACTGAATTAATTACCTGTGCTGAGCACCTGTCAACTTGCAACAAAATTAATTTTAACAGCCTAATTTATTCGCTCTTTCTTCAAGCTTCTGGAATTAAGTCAACTCTGTTACTCTAACCTCCTCTTCCTCCCGTTGCTGTTGTTCTCAGCTCCCCATATTTAATTCTGATTACAAGTGGGGGAAGGGAGCTTTTCTGTCCTCAGAATGCACAATTTCATGAGGTTTAATTGAGCCTCAAGTGTTTAGCTACCTTGAATATCTAAGTAAGACCATTCATCCCTTTTTAATAAACAATGTATTATTGAAAGTAAGAGCTCGCATCAGCTATCAAATTATTTCCTTCTTTCATGCTTGTAGGAAACCCACTCTGAATGAGGGTACACAGCTGAGAAATGTAAAAAACAGTGGAAATTCAAAGCTACTTATTCTAGGAATTAATATTTTAAATGTAATAATGATGAATAATATAGAGCATATTTGTCCATTTTTATGACCTACAAAAAGCAGGACATAGATGCAACCTCAGAATAATAATTTATCATTATTTTTGAAGCATCTTGTTGTTGTGTTGTGTTTTGTTTTGGGTTTTTGTTTTTTTTTTTTTTAATGTAATAGTGTTTCTTTTAAAAGCGGTGGGAACAGATCTTCCACACAAAGACAGAGGGTTCAGTAAGGACACCTGATTTGTCTTCTTGCCCTGAAACACATTCTTTTTCCTTCAACAAACTAGTTGCCTGTCTCTGGGTTCTGATAAATAGTGTAAGAATCAAAGCTACTGGAAAACAAACATGAAAAATGAAATCTGTGTTGGTGATAGCAAAATGGTTAGGGCTAAAATTCAGTGAGCTGGATTATGTCATGAAATAGGAAGGAAAACCAGTAGAAAATCATTTAAATAATAAAATTTCTTGGAGATTAACTGAAATCTTGCCCTTAGCTCTGAGGAGATAAGCCTAAGGAGATAAATTAAATGAGTGCTAATTTTATTCTTATGAAGTTCTGACCGTGTACTGAATACACAAAGAGCCCTTAAAGACCACAATAAAGAATAAATGAAACAAAGAACAAACAAGACAATGAGAATTCAAAGGACATAGCAAAGGGCAGGAATATAATTCTGTGTCAGAACTGATATATTTTATTGGCTTTTTGTTACTCTCAAGTCTGCAGCTATAAAAGAGTTTATCTTTTCCTTCTTTAAATTAAAAATACAACTTCGTAAAGGAAAATACTGCTTATTATTCTTAATTTGATTTTTTTAAAAATTATTATTTATTTTTAAACTGATTCGCACAATACAGTACCTTTGTTTCAGGAACAGCAGACACTGTCAGAATACAGGGATACAGTATACTCGTCAGATAATACTGAATTCTAGACTAAATACTAATTTCTAGAGTATACTGCCATGAAATAGTATATAGACTTTCAGAGGCTGTGGAACAAAGAAGTAAGGGCTTGCATCTCAGGAGTGTTTTTCTGGAAGGGGAACAGATTTTCAGTGACAACAATTATGGCAAGGAAGGCTGTCTCTTCAGTTGCAAACATATTTGAAACTGCTGGTATATTAAATGCCTGAGAAATCATAGCTGTAGACTTTCAGGTTTCTCTTCCAGGATCATTAATATTACTGGCACCCTAAAGCTTTGAAGGCACCATTTCATTTAAAAAATCCCACATTCTTTTCTTTTGCCAGGCTCAAGTACTGCTAACAAAACTTGTTCAAGCAAAGAATTCAGGAAATCTGATACCCATTTTGAAAATAGTGCTATGGTAGAAGGAATTCTTCTAAAAGAATGTTATTCATATTTTAAATCAACAGCTATGAAACTATTTACTTTAATTAGCTTACAGACAAACTTTTAGATCTAAAAATCTTCTCCATCGTCCTTAAAAGTTGAAGGCTCAAGTGGTTTAACTTCATTAGAGTGTATTCTGATATCTGACATGATAACACAAAATAATTAGCTTTTGACTTCATGAGCATTTATGTGAAGAGATTTGC